TATGGTCTATGCTGTTCTTAATTGCAATAGAAGCAGGTAACATCTCCTTAAAATTATGCAGAAGTGCTACAGTTTCAAGAAACATTGAGCTATCATCTAGTTTATTCAGAATAAATAAATAAAAAATACTTGCTCACTATAATCTATAAACTCATTTTAATAACTCTAATAGCAATAATGAAATTATTTTCTCTGACTACTCAATATTTATATTACACATAATGAATACTAGAATAATGGTACAAAGTTAGTTCCATATGGTGAAATGTTAATATAACAGACCATCAATGATGATGTAATCTGGGGAAAGCTGGTATTATGATTGACTTCTATCCTCTATAGAACATTCAGTATCTCTCTGTAAAGGATAACAGGATGGTCCTGACATTTTATACTTGAGATTTATTATAGGCTTGTAGATTTGAATACGTATTAGCAAATTTCAACATACCTATTAACATATCTATAAAAAGGTATCCCTCAGAAGCTTGAAATTAATCAGATCAAATGCCAATAAGTTTGCTGTTATCAGAACATCCTTTCTGATCATTTGCTTCATTTAGGTTTTGGGTACTTACTCATGGGCATCCAACAGCAGCAGAACACTGCAAAACCAAAAGTTATTGCTATTTTGAGAACACAAACTAATTTTTGTAGTAATTGACCAGACATAGCACAAAAAAAGCAATGCAATATGGAAGATATGCTAATTTAGCACATTGTGTAAAATGTACACTTTCCATACCCATGAATCTCAAGGTGGCTGTAATCAAGCTTCAGAGAATACTGAGAGCACAATTCCTCTCGTCAGTAGCCTTTGTTACATGGCAGTCATCCACCTTTCCATGATCAAGGGGGAAAAAAGATGGAGCACACAAGGAAGAGAGGTATTTCTCTGTGTGAAGATTTGGCCCTGGAGTCTGGGCTTTTGAGATGCCCTAGTGATCTGGGATCGATGCCGTTTTATTTTCTTTTGGGAATAAATCTGAGCAATGGAATGGCTTATGATTGTTCAGCCAACCAGCCATATCAGATTTATCAGAAAGAAAGAATGAAAACTGGCTTAGAGAACTCCTGCAGTGGCTGAGTGGCAGGTTGCTGGGAAAGACACACACAAAATGAATACACTTAGTGGTGGAAAGGAAAAATATATATTCACATGTGCCTAAACTCAATAAATAATATGTAAGAAACTCATCGTAATGGAAAGGGTGAATGTGTAAGACAGATGATAAATAGCACTTCTATTTAAAAACCAAAGAGATGAAAGCTCATGAATACTAAATATTTGAATCCAGATTGAAGAGAAAATATGATTTTCTATCTAGTGAATGCAAACTGTAAAAAATCAGCCAAAGCAAACACTATGTTCAGGTTAAAATAAAAAATACATAAATCTTCCAGCACATGCAAGCCCCAGTAAACATTCTGATGTAATTTCCTAATTAAGACACATTTCCAGAGACTAAATTTTATTTATATATATATATATATATATATATATATATATATATATATATGGCTGTAAGTGCTTGATTTTCAAGAAATTTGACTTTCTGTGCATACATGATTAAAATATAGGCAGTTGAGTCGAAGAGAAAAACCAGGAATGAGGACAGAAGCAGTTATTCTACTTAATCTCAACCATAGAAACTTACCATGTTTTCAAGTAATTTAAAGCTACTGTGCAATGTATTCATGTGTTTAGAAGTATTCTGAATGAAAAACTATGTTCTTCTATAAAGCTATCTTGTACAAATGCATGGTTTTCAAAATTAAAGGAACAAAAGGGGATAGTGTACCCATGGCCATGCTCCTTGCAAATGCACTCTGAAAAAATGATTGATGCATTTTTAGAAAAATCTATGCAATATTTTTCTCATTAAGTTTCATTAATAACTTCTTCTCAAATGTATAATACCACTGAAAGATTGGGGGAGGGGAACGATATACCTTAAGTATATAGGATATGTGTGCGCTTTAATTAAATGAAAAGCAGGGGGACTAAGTAGCTTGCACATAAGAAGGAAAATGATATGTTCCACCATAAATTAAGACTTGGGAGAATGTCACTTCAACAACTGTAAATTTTTATTTCAGTACAAAAGCGATATTGATAAGTTCAATCACAGAAAGAAGGCAAACATTTTAGTATTATTTCTCCAGGTGGAATTTCCATACAAAGGCCTTTGACTAAAACATTTATAGATAAAATTTATCACCGGTAATGAGACATAAATTGCTTGGAATTATTTTTAAATACTCAAAAGCTGACTTTTTCCTCCTCTACCAAAAGAAAAGCCAAGTTTTCTTACGTAAAAATTTCCCAAGAAATGTCTTGAAGATCGTACAAGAGAATCACCCACTGTATGTTTTTATTCCGTTCACATACAGCAGTAAATAAGGTGCATTCCTTCTGCTTAAGAAATTAGCATTTCAAAAATATGCCACTTTCCCCTGAACTCCAAGCGTGTCTAATAATGCGAAAAGCAGATTGTCTTCCCTCGTTTCCTTAATTTGTTTCATCTAAAAGCAATTCACTCAACATCTTGTCGCCCTCTGGCAGCTTAGTTTACTTATCCGCACTTAATTTCTCATTTGGACCAAAACAAACTCCTCCAAACTGCTGCTGACTGCTAACCGCGAGAGAGGAGACGCGCGGTATGTATTTACTTGAGTAGACAGCCACACACATGCATAGCCACAAACACAGAGCCTCACTCTCACCAGACAGTGACTTGTTTTTATAATAGCACTACATTAAAACCAGCTGAACTTTCTCTGCCAGGTGCGGTAGAGGCGCCTGGAAAAAAGAAAAAAAGAAAAAGGAAGTCCCTGGGGGCACGGACAATTTCCAATAGATCACCTAAGTATGCTTGTTGCAATTATACAGGGATGCACCCGAGAGCTTTTCTTTGTGCGGTCCTTTCATCTAGATCACTTTGTGTTTTGAACAAGTGAGGCTCTCTTTTGTGCCCCCAGAATTTCAAGTACAGAGTCACACAGGAAACAACAATGGCACGCTAATCCTCGTGCTTCTAAATGGGCTCACTTGTGGGTCTGACAATTCGCCCAGGGAAAAGTGCAGAGAGAGCTAGGGCGCAAGCTGGTGTCGTCTGAGACACGGAAGGGGACAGCTGCAGAACTAATTTGGATTACATTCTTGCCTAAATCCTGAAAAGGACTTTTAGGCATAGCCTAACCGGGAGCTGCAGAGTTAATACCAAATTGCTGTGGACTTGAAGCAGGGATCCCCCAGCGGCCCAGGCCACGCCAGACAGCCCCCTGGTAGGGTGGCCTGATAGAAATTCCTCTCGGCTAAGCCTGCATGACAGTTGCAAGTGTTTTTGAATGGGTCAATGTGCATAATCAACCCATTGAGGGGAAAGGCAAAGGGCTCGGAGTGGGGAGCCAGAAAGGGATGTATCTAGGCGGCCGCCTGGAATCTCAAGTCCTTGCTGCCGCTGCTGCTATGATTCCAGAGGTGGCTGGAGCGCAGGATCTGGTATGCACGAAGAATTTCGGAGTCACTGGGAGTATGCAAACGGCCAGCACAAATGGCGCACATGTGCCATTCGAAGGTCATTTTGAACAGCTCAGAGATTGTAACTTGTTATTTACTAGGCGAGGAGGAAGAGGCGGGAGCGGAGGCGGAGCGGGAAAACTAGCAAGCTGCCTGGCTTTCTCGGTGAGGTCAGAAGGACACCCTCTAGGGACCTAAAGCTCTCCCTGTCGCCACTCCTGAACGCTTTATCTTCTCAAGCTGACTCCCACGTTCCCGCCACCAGCCCCGGAAGGTTCCGGAAATCTCTATGCCTTCTCCAAAAGCCCTCTTCTCTCCCATCTCCGCCCGGTCAGGCACACCGGCTCTCCTTCGTCCTTTCGCGTCCCCTCCTCTCATCCCAGGGAAACTCCCAAGAGTCAAAAAACTTTGAGCTCCTGTACATCGCAGCTGCTGTCATTGGCTCTGGCGGCCCCAGCACGCCAGCGACACTGTGCTGCCTCTCGGGGTCAATTAGTCCTTTTTTCTGTCAAAATACCTGGGGCTTGGGCGATCCGGCCAACAGTGGCCGCGCTCAGGACGCCGCCATCCGACCCGCCTCGGGCTAAGTCAATGAGCGCCACCCGCGGGCTCTGCAGCCCGGCCGGGCAGTAAACAGAAGTTCAGGCCAACCCCAAGTTGCACTACTGGAAGAACTCTTCTGGGAGCCAAGACCAGCACCGGGAGGGAAGGCCGGGCTCAGGGCTCAGTATGCCAGGCTTTTTCTTTTTTTTTTAATAGATCATGCTGGCAGGCGAGTCACCCCCCCCCCCAAGTCAATTGCAAGACAGCCCGGAGATGCCAACTAAGAAGGCCCAGAGTCCCTGGCCCATGGCCGAGGCGCGCACCCGGTGCGCTCCAGCTGCCCGGATAGGACTGCCTGTCCGATGTGACCCCACAGGGTATGGGAGACTCAAGCCGGCGGCCGCGCGCCAGCATGCTCAGGTGCCAAGCCCGGCTCCCCGGCCGCGCTCCGCCGCAGCCCTGCACCCCGGGAAGGCCAGCCAGGCTCAGCCCAGGAACCTCCTGGCGGCCCGAAGAGGTGCAGCGATTCTCCGATTTGGTTTGATTTTTTTTTCCCTTTCCCAGCCCGAGGAGGAGGGAACCTCCACTGACAGGCTCTGGTCTCCCACTCCCCGAACAACGGGCGCCACCAGAAGCGATCCCGCTTAGGCTCCCAGAAAACGCGCGAGAAAGAAAGAAGGGGGCTAAGGAGAGGGTGAAAGGGGGGACAATAATATAGGGGAGGCAGGAAAGCGGAGTCATTTGTAGCATCAATAAAAACACACGCACGCACACACAAAGGTAAGTTTGGGATGGAGCGAGGGGCCACCCAAGCTAGAAGCCCAGTCCCTAGGGTCCCTGGGTGACAGAGGGGCGAGGGGAGAAGAAAGCCACCGGAGGCGGTGGCGGGTTCAACAGCTGGAGCGCGACAGGGAACCGCGAGACCGCGACCCACCTGACTGAGAAGCGCTGGGCTGGACGGTCCCCGCTGCCACCAGAAGGCTCCCCCAGACCCACAGTCCCGTCGCCAGCTTCATTTTTGGCAAGTCTCAGATCCCGCGCTGACAATTACATGTCCAAATACCATAGCCACTTGCGGGCACGCGGAGGAGATCTCCCCCCCTCAGCCGGGAGCGCGTGGGGGGCGCGAGGGGGGCGGGCGCGGCGCGCTCGGTGCACGGGCTTCCCGGGGCTGGCGAGCCAGTCGGCTCCGGTGGCGGCTTCCAGGACCCGGGAACCTGCGGACCCCGCAAGGGGCCGCGGAGGAAGGCGCGCGGGTGGGAGTGTGCCCGACTGTGCGGCTGGTGCTCCGAGCACAACCGTACAGCTAGTTCCCGGAGTGATCCTCTGCTCTCACGTTCCCTCCTCACTTTCTCGCTCGCTCTCTCTCCTTCTCACTGGTTGGTCAACAATAAAAAGAAAGAGGGGGAATAAAGGCTTCCAAAAAAAGTTGATTGCAAAGAGGCGGCAGGGTTCCGGCCTCTCCCCCCAAAACCGGGCTATGTTCAGCTCTCTCTTCAGTCTCCTTGCACCTCCTGTCCAAATCTGGAGGGAAAAGGAGGGAGGGTGCTTCTTTGCTTCTCCCCGATCCTGTCCCCCTTTTTTTGCCACTGTCAGCTTTCCTCACACTTGTCCAGCCATTGCAGTAATTAAAGCTCCGAGCGTCATTTCCAACGCTCCGCGGTCTCCAGCCGCAGCCCCACAGAGAAATTAATAAGACTCAGGGAGAAAGATTTTTAAAAAGAAAATAAAAGAAAAGAAAAGAAAGAGGGGAGTGGGGGGTGGAAATCAAACAACCCTCCACGCAACCAGCCAGGCTTTCCTCCGCTGCGCAAGCCCCGCCCCTGCTCTGACCCTTGTAGCCACGCCCTCCCCCTAAGGAGAAATCTTATTGGCTCAGACACTCCCCCAAAAAATCCTCAGCCTCTAGAGTTGGGAAAACACCTGTCAGGCAGTGGGAGCAGGGTGGTGGTAGGGGCTTGGGGAAGCAGGATCTAAGAGGCTCAGTGGAGTCCACTGTCTGAAACGCTCTCCTTGTGGCTGCCCTGACAGAGGCCCTGGACAGCTGGCCCGCTGAGTAGTCAGTCCACCAGAGAGAATGCTTGCTGAACGAATTTTTTGACAAAAGAAAAGGACATTTTCTTTATTGCTCCAAGGCGTCAGTCCACACACAGGACTTTCCCTAGAAATAGAAAGTCAGCATTGCTTTGGGAATAAAATACCTCTGTCCCTCTCCATCCAGAACATTCCATGTTTAGTACTTTAAAATGGATATTGTAGGTAGCTGGTAGCCTTGCAGGTAAGATGAAACCTGCCAATAACCCCCCCTCCCCCGTATCCCATCTCTCTCACCTTCCCAAGATAACATTGAGCCAAATTTAAAAACCCATATTTGTGAAACCACATTCTTTGATTCTGAAATTATACAAATTATCTCAAGCCTGTGCTGTTCAGTCTGAAGCTGTTTAGGAGGTCAGGTCATAACTATAGGACGCAAGCCATCAGGGTTAGACCATAGTAGAGCCAGCTTGAGATCTTGCACTTGCTCTTACTTTGCAGGGTGTGTGCTTCATCAAGAGCTTTAAGACTAAGTTTCTCTAAGTCTAAAATGCCCTGGAAGAGATTACTGTGTTCTGAGGGACCGCGGGTCTAAAACTACTCTAAGTTGTAGCCAGAACCTGTAGGGAGTCAGTGGTTACTCATTTGCCATGTGTACAGCTATTCTATGAAGGCATTTTCTTTGCTTTCTCTCAAAGCAGTGACTAAATACAAAGTATTGGAGTCCTTCCCTCGGTCTCCCACATGCCTTAAGAATTTCCAGGCAGCCGAAAGCAGCAGTAACAGACTCCTGAAGCTTGAAGCCTTTCCCTGGACCCACAGGCCCACTACAGGTCAAACAAGCGAGTGTGCTTTTTACTCAAAAGCTGCCCAGGGCAAAGAAAAACGGAGCCCAGAGCAAGGGATGGGGCCTTGACTAGAACGGCATGGCACTCAGTGCAGAGGCACATGCACCGGACTCGGGAGTTAGCTCTATTTTCCTCTTTCCTCTCCACGGTCATTTCTTCCTTTCGTTTAATGCAATCTCGGCCCAGTTTACTTGTCTTCCGTCAGCTTATGATTACTTTCAGATACCTTTTCTCCATAAAAGCTGCTCATTATTACATCTGTCACCACAATAACAATTTAAGTGACAAACACAAGCTACTTCTAGGGGACTGGAGTTTTAGCTCCCACATTTCGTTGGCGTCCAGTTTCTGGTGACAGTTATTTTTGAAAAGGGGAGAAATTATAACAGCTACATAGCAACTGCCATTGTGAGGAAAGGATTAGATGTGTAAATATTTCACTTTATTTTCTAGTTGTGCCTATTATGAGGATTTTTTTGTGTTCATTGATCCTAGAGGGACTGAGAGTATGGTACCTGCCTGGCATGCATGAAACCCTTAGTTCAAGTCTTAGTAATAGAAAATAATAACTCCTCTACTGCCATTGCTGTATATCTCTATATATTGCTGCCGGACCTCTATATATGTTCTAAGTTCACCCGTATTTTCCAGACTAATTCTTAGCAGAAGAGGACACTTAGTTACAATCATAGATGTTACCATCTCGATAGAGATGATTCCCACCAATTACGTTGCCAGTCTACCTATAATTTGTGTCTAAATCTCAGTTCGGTTTGTCTTGATCCATATTTTCCTGGTTCTTACTGAATCAAACAGTAATTGACCTGGCCATAGGTTGATGTTTGGCCAACAGCTTTCAAGCCTACAAACTGGACATGAAAGTTGTAATCCAGTAGTGACTATATTTTAAAGACTAGCTTAGATCATGTCAATATTAGAAACAGACATGCATAGAGGAACGTGGTATTCGGTGGGCCAAAAAGATTAAACCAGAATACAAAAGAATTATTATTTTACACGTCTACTCTCATCAGCTTCCCATGTCTGCTGAATTAGCACAAGAAGGGACACTATCACAGAGAACATTTTCTACCTGGTATGGGAAGGACATGCTATCTGAATTGCCAGAGGCAGAAATAGATTTCTGTATTTCCCACTTTGCAGTGTGGTGTTATAATAAAATCTTATCAGTTGACTAAAATCTGTGGCTGAGACTTAAAACCAGGCATGAGGGTGGGGTGGTGGGGGTGGTAGGGGAGAGACTAAGTAACTCATTATTTAGCCAACCGCAAAGAAGGAGCAGAAACAATCTGGTGAATACCTCCTCCCTCGGTTCTTATGAATCTGGAAATCTACCCACGTTACAACTCTCTAGCAGTTCTAAGTTGGAAAGTCAAACACACAAAAATGCCTCAGTCCCTATTGATTAGATGAGAGACTGTCCTTTCCACCATGTCCCTTCCCTGGGATTTTTGTTCCTGGGAAAGAAAAAGTTCACATTCATTCTGTCCATTGCAACAAGAAAGAATGAGACTGCCATTTGAAAGGAACAAAAGTCCAGATGGGTCTGGAAAGGATTCAAACTCTCTTTGTAGGGTTTTCATTAAACTAGTTCAGTTTTCCTTTTGTTATCTGAAACCAGAACTGCATGGCATGAGAAAAGAGCTTTGCAACTTGAGCGAGGTTGTACAGGTCCTCGTTTCCCTAAAGAAGATGTCTTCACATGGGCTAAGCTTCAGTTTTCTGGCCTATCTTCTCATCACTTCCCTGGAATAAAGTCATAGTCCCAACACATACCTTTATCCTCTGCTACTTCCCCGATGTCCCTAACCCTTTCACAAGTGACTCACAGCTGCTAGCTGTAGAAAGACTTGCATGTGGAATTAAAATTCCTTTATCTTTTGATTATGAAGAGTCACCACAAGAGGCTCAAAGGTTTCAGGCTTACTTCCCCACCTCAACTCCCTCAGATGGTGAGAGTATTAAGAGATAACTAGATCATAGAGACACCAATTTCGTTATTGTCATTAATGTGAGAAATCCATTGATGAATTCATAGTGATTGACTTATCAAAATGGTAACTTTGTGAAATGAAGTATGTCACTAGGCAGATGAGGGGAGATGGGTTATGCCCTTGGAAGCTTATCTACTCCTCAAGTCTTTTTCTGGTTTTGCTTCCTGGCAGCCATAGGTGAGCTACTTTGTTGCACTATGTGCTCCCTGCCTCAAAGTCTATATCCTCATAGACCAACACATCAGAAAACATGAGCCAAAATGCAGCAGTCCTTTTAAGCGAATTCACTAGGGCATTTTGTCTCAGGAATAAATATTGCCTAATGTAATCTATGACAGTACCTTACAGCCTCATCATTCATTGGTAATCAGCTTGTTTACACAACCTGTTTAAACATTAGCTAAAATGTGCTGCTTTCAATATTTTTCTCTTGGCCATTAATATAAATTGAAGTCAAGTAAGAGAGCAAGACTATAGAATAAATTCTCTTCTCCTGAATATTTAAATGTAATCTTAGGATTTAAATTTTACTTTCTGTTCATCATCATCTTTCTATATTTTTTTTGTAATCTCAAGTAATTCACTTCACTAACGTGTGTCCACTGCCTTATCTTTAAATAAACGAGTAGTCATATCCCAAATCTAAGATATTATATTGCCATAATTTATCATCCACCCCCTGAGAACAAGTTACAGTAGCCATAAGCCCAAAATCTTTCAGCATCTCTACAACACCCCTCAATACCCTCAAGCATCTCCGTTTAGGCCACTAGTACAGATATATCTTTCACCTTTGTTTTTGATCTTGATTTAACCAATGACATGGACTATGGACTATGTGGTCTCGCTAACATTTATTTCTCACAATCATGGAACCCTGGGTGTCCAACACCAAGTTACTAAATTGTTCCTGATGAGAATCCTCTTCTGGAATACAGATAGAGTTCTTTTATGGCTCCTGACATGGAAGAGAGAAGGTCATCTCTCTCTCTCTCTCTCTCTCTCTCTCTCTCTCTCTCTCTCTCTCT